AGTTCATGATTACCGTCACAATTCATCAAAATTGATTTTCAGCCAAGGTAACACTTAGATCCATCAGCTGACCGATGTTTTGTTTGCCTGCAATCATCACTGTGTGGAGCTATAAACACAAAACCCATGCATTTTGTGTCATAGAAATCAAAGACAGTTGGTTTATTTTTTGCCGAATCATTCAGTAATCAATTAGAGTTGCCAAAACCTGTATCATGCGTTTTTTAAAGTACTCGGCTCACGAATCCGACATACATGGCGAGCTAAATGGGGTTTCTGAACCCAGAAACAACAGCTGAGAATTGTGTTTTATAACCAGTATTCCATTTAATCACAACCATTATTTAGAATCAGTCTCGCTAAACCCCCCCTAATGTGAAGTCCTCGCGTCTATCTAAAAGCATCTGGTTTTGGAGGATAAAAGATTATTGATCTCAAATTAAGACTTCAGATGAAAGGTAGGATGATTAATAACCTGCCCAGGATGACTTCCTGTGAGTAAGGAAAGACTCGCATCTGGACTTAGAGCCACAGGTAAGTCGGGTGTTTATATGTTGTATCTGGCAGTAATTGTATGAGGAGTCATTTTTTTAGTTCTTTGAATGGTTAGTTATTAATTATTTAAACTTATAATAACATATTATTGCATGATTTGCAGTAATAACAGATTGTGACATGTAACAGGTTGTAATTGTAATATGTAACAGATTGTGAATGTAATAGAATTCCATTAGGAGTGAGTGAGTGAATGAGTGAGTGAATATTGCTTAACGCCGCATCAGCAATTGTGCAGCTATTCGCGGCGGGAAATGTCGATTCCATTAGGTAAGACGATTGCGATTCTGTGTTAATGAACCTGTGTTTCTGTTACTATACATTGTTGTTGTTTATATACTTGGAATCGTAAAATTGGCAAGGTGTTTCTTTAGCTTATGGAAAGGTTTTGTCGTTGTTTTTTTATATGAAGTTATGAATGCGTTCTGATTGGATAGTTACAGTGAGTGTGAGTGAGTTCGGGCTTAACACCGCTTTTAAAAATATTCCAGTAACATCGCGGCGTGTCAGCTTAACGTGTGAGGAAAGCCCGAAGTGATGCAGGTCTCTGACGTTTACCACTTCAGTGAAACCCACGAGCACGGGTATGGTGCTGACAAACCTAGAAACATAATCAGGGCGAACCGGGATTCGAACCCACAATCATAGGTTTCTGGCGTGCCCAAGGGACGCAACTCTGCACAGCGAATTGCGGCGCCTTAGACGACTGGGCCACCCGTTCCCTCTGTTTAGTTACATATCTCTTGACATAATGTGAATTAAAGTAGGTAACAGACTGTCAGTGTCGTCATGTTATCATTACAGCGTCCGCCGTCAGCCACAAAACACCTTTTAAAAAAATTGTTTGGTTGCGGGTGCTTCCGATGAGGTAGGACATGCTTATCTGTGTCGTGAACACGTGGTGATTTTCTGTGATCGCTTCATATAACTGTCTCCTCTCTTTGTCTTTTCCGCCCAATGGAATCTGTTTCGGAGACTGGCTATTCTCTGGCGTTGTTGTTTAACATTACGTATATGAGGTGAGGTGAGGGGAGGTGAGGTGAGGTGAAATGGGGTTTAACTTCGCGTCCAAGATTATTGCACTTATATAGCGTCGTGCATGCACGTGTGTGTGTGTGTGTGTGACTGGCTGCCTGTACTAGTCCGGACTGATGCCGATTTGTAGTGCTAGCTCACTGAGATACCATGCCGCAGTTTAACATGAATACCCCACTCAGACACAGTATACTGACTCCGAGCCGACCAGTCCTTGTTTTAGCCCCTTAATGTCGAGCGCCAGACAGGGTAACAACAAGTACCATCTTTTAACGTCTTTAGGTATGACGCGCCCGGGGATCGAACCCAGGACCTTCCGCTCTCCGGGCGGACGCTCTACCACTAGATAACGGAGGCGGTCTACGTATATCTAAACCGATGATGGTCTAGAGTGGTAGTATGTGAATTGTTGATATTTGAATTTGTCACTGATTCTTTGTCATTTGACCGTTAACAATAATTGACCTTGCAATGAATCGACAGTTCGAACAATCGTTAGAGTTAATAAAAGCGACAAAACCTTTTCCATATTCATAAAAAAAATCTCCGCCAATAGCAGAGCCGATTTACGATTCCGACTATATCACGAGCATTTGTCCTCGAATCACCATCAAATAGGAACCCGTCACAAACACATGCAAAGGCATGTCAAAGTTAAAGCAATTATATTTTCATAGTAGAGATGGCACATCGTAACTTCTCTGACTCAAACACTCACTGGGCGAATTTCATTGCATATGATGTTCAAAGTGATAATATTTTCAATGATGTGATGAAGTCGGATAAATAGTTTGGGGTTACACATTTTATGATAACACAATGTTTGTAAATAACAGAATCACATTTTCGTAAACTGAATAGGCGATGGAATTGTAATACGCTATAAGCAAAATACACGTTCTTGATATCATTTAAGTTTGTGTATCAACAAATGGATTAATCACAAGTATGAAATTATACCTTTCAGGGAGAAACCCATTATATTGTTAGATCCGGCTAATTCGGACATTTTATCGTGATTTTGGAAATGGCTCGATTCTGATTGGCCTGTCGAATTGGTCAGTTGGTATCAAATCACAACAAGAGTTGTCACTAACGTGGCTATATCCCCCGCCCCTGTTGCAGAATTTATGACATAATTAAATCTAAACAAACCCTAACCTTTTTTAACCGAGGGGGAACTTGTCATGGAAATTGTACAAAAAAGAAGAGTTTGCCACTAACGTGGCCAAGTCTCCTGCCCAGCAAATGAAGTGTATATTATGTCAACAACAGTGAAATTTTGTAAGGAGCAAAAGGCAGAAGGGTAGCATCTACTTGATGTAAATGCAAAATATCCTGGATAAAACAAAATATAATGCTGCAAATCACAATTTCTATTAAGTTCAAGAAACAAATGAAACCTTCTCCACAAAAACATGATGGAAGTACAAACTGACAAAACCAGTCACTACATTTACTGCTGAATTCATAAGGGTGGGAGAAAGAAAAAACATTACAAGTCACATTTTGACTCGAAATAATATCTACATGGAATATTTCTTAAGAAACATACATGGTATTAGTCTGTGATATGTGATTATCGTCATTAATAGTTCAAACCCAAGATGTTGCTTTGGACATAGTAGCTTAAATGCAAAATATTAAGATTAAAAAACTTCAGTTCATTACCACATTGATTAACATACAAAGAAATAATGATAGTCACTTCAATATACTACACCTATTCCGTCACACCCCACACAAGATGATGGTCAGTGTGTGGAACTGGAAAGACTCCTGTTGAGATGGGCTCATTACAGAAGATCAAGTCTAGTGTACCCCCAAGGGTGTGGGTTGGTTTGCTGATATACTGGGCGAATGTAAACTGCTCCATGAGGTTGGATAGTGCATTGTTGTCATGGACAGACTGGTCCACATTGAAGTCCCCAGTGATAACAATCCTATACTGATTGAGTTTTGGGCATTTAAAAGAAGAATTCATAAATTTCTAAAAGTTCAACTTGTTGCCATGGAAAAATAAAAAAATAAAAATTCCAAATTTTTTAAATAGTAAAAGGCACCAGTTAAGCATGTACCTGACAGACCTACAAAAATTCATGAAAAAATATTGAACGGTTTATGAGTTATGCTCCGGAAACGAGCCCTACCCTCACAGAACCCAAGTCCATCTTGTTGTCATTGAAACGTAAAAAATAAAAAATTCTAAAATTTCTAAATAGCAAAAGGCACCAGTTCAGCATGTACCTGACAGACCTGCAATGTTTCATGAAAAAATATTGAACGGTTTCTGAGTTATGCTCCGGAAACGAAACGTGACGGACGGATGGAGTCCGTTTCTATATCCCCGCCCAACTTCGTTGGGCGGGGTATGATAACCACCGCTGATTGAAACAGCCGATTTGACGGGCGGATCGCAGCAGAAGCATATATTTATAGAAAAGTTCCGAGTGGAGTATTACTATGTATGCTTGAGCATATACAGCGCCGTATTGTGTTTAATAGCTTGTCGGAGTTTCCGTAATTCATATCGGCAACGTAAACCCTCTCAAATCATTGGGCTCACTCGATATATTTACTACACCGAATCCTTCGCGTTTTATTTAGTCATGGTAGTACGGTTACAACTACATTTAGTCGAAACTGCCGGGCAAAAGAAAGTACACACTTAAAAGTTGGATTGGACCAAAACATAACAAACGTTCTCAAAACGATATCAGGCTAGTACAGTCGCCGAAACACCGCAGAGATGAGGTAAAGTTGGGTTTAACGTCGCGTCCAGGATTATTGCACTTATATAGCGACGTGCATGCACGTATGTGTGTATCTACGTGTGTGGCTGCTTGTACTAGTCCGGACTGATGCCGATTTATAGTGCTAGCTCACTGAGATACCATGCCGCAGTTTAACATGAATACCCCACTCAGACACAGTTTACTGACTCCGAGCCGACCAGTCCTTGTTTTCGCCCCTTAATGCCGAGCGCCAGACAGGGTAACAACAAGTACCATCTTTTAACGTCTTTTGGTACGACGAGCCCGGGGATCGAACCCCGGACCTTCCGCTCTCAGGGCGGACGCTCTACCACTAGATCACGGTATCGGTCGAAACACTGCAGACTAAGGTACAATACCAAACTATGATACCCGTATCAAGCACATTCGCATTTCTTGTTCGTTTCATTTTTATCCACCATCAAACGTATGATACAATTGCCAGGTAGTTTATCTCTACGTTGCAAACACAGTATGTTTATCTCTCTGCAAAATATCGTTCCAAATAAAATCGTAGTACTACACCGGTAATTGGAAAATGAAATCGTGTTTCCTGTATCCGTCGTATTCTCATGTGTACGTGTTTGATATAGGTACCGTTATTACAACTGTGTGTCTGTAGCTATAGCCGACACGATGGCCTACGTCTTCCTGCTGGTTCTGCTGTCGACGTCATCTGTGGCGGGGGTAAAGGACCTCTACATCCTGGGACTGTTCCCCATGGACGGACCCTCCTGGCCAGGGGGTCGTGCTATCAAGGCAGCGGCAGACATCGCGCTGGAACATGTGAACGCCATGGATAACATGTTGGAGGGCTACGACCTCACACTTATCTGGAACAACACTAGGGTAAGTAATTCTATTATAAGGGTAACGCTATTTTTCAGGGCATTATCATTTAATTTGCAGAAGCCTGAGCCAGAGGTCTTTTATTAACTGCCCGACGAAGGAGGGCAGTTGAAAACACCGAGGGCTTCTGCAAATGATAATGCCCTGAAAAATAGCGTTACCGTTATTATAGCTAAAATGGATGGAATTTGTTATCAAATAAAAAGAAACAACAATGTCGATTTTGAAACATTTACTGCAATCAACACGAGTGTCACTGACACACATTTACAAATATGGAAACGTCATAGAACAAACCAGATGACGTCACTATTGAACGTTACGTCACCTATCCCTATCCTATGACGTCACCTAACAACGGGCGTGATAATGGCCCGTCGTCAAGTAATATGAGGGCATTATCAATTTACAGTGGCCCGCTCATTTCTGATAACATGCGGGCGTTTTTATGATAATTCTATCCATTTTAGCTATAACAACTTATAAACAACTTTCTTACACTTGAAGAACTACGTCATTATTGTGGACTGTGCTACCTCTATCAAGAATCTTGCAATTCCATTGGTTATCCGTACCACGTGACGAAACAACACATTTCAATGAGGTCTTTGAGAGGCATTTAGACTTTGTGAGACTTTCATACGACGTCCCAGGGCTACTAAACTAGCTCTAAAACGTCGTATAAATAATAAAAGAAGTTGCTATCCATTAAAAAGTGTCATGAATATAAATTTTATTTCAATGTGGACCCCCAAATTACGTGACTTCAAATATTGACTCGTCATATGATCAATATTGACGAGAGGTGTAACGATATAATGTGGTCGCAATATGATACGCGTCGTGATACTACGTGTGCGGTACGATTCGTATCCTGATACAGTTTTATTTCAATAAGTTTATAATCTTTCTTTTCCGTCAATCACAGGTCGTTGGACAGTTCAGCATTTTAAATCTGTTATTTTTCATGTGTTTTTACATCAATAAAACTTAAAATCTAATGTATCGTATGTATCGTATGTATCGTATGTATCGTGATACAGGGGCTGTAAACCGATGTATTGTATCGCGGGCTTCGTATCGTGATACAAGGCTGTATCGCCGTATCGTTTCATCACTGGGAGCAGAATAGGTCTTACCCATGCCGTAAAAGGCGACTCTGCTTGTCGTAAGAGGCGACTAACAGGATAGGGTGGTCAGGCCCACTGACTTGGTTGATGCATGTCATCGTATCCCAATTGCGTGAAATATTACTTACATAGTATGAAGAACAAAGGCTATCTTTAAATAACCCGAACGTGTATTACCATTAGATTTCCCAGAATCATCCCACAGAGCGCTGTACCAAATTCTAATTCAGTATCAACAGCAATTAACCTTTCCTTAATACCCAGTTGTCTAAGGCGCCGGGATTCGCTGTGCAAAATTGCGTCCCTTGGGCACGCCAGGAACCTATGATTGTGGGTTCGAATCCCGGTTCGCCCAAATTATGTTTCTAGGTATGTCAGCACTATACCCGTGCTCGTGGGTTTCACTGAAGTGGTAAACGTCTGAGACCTGCATCACTTCGGGCTTTCCTCCCACATTAAGCTGACACGCCGTGATATTACTGGAATACTGTTAAAAGCGGCGTTAAACCCAACTCACTCACTCACTAATACCCTGGAAGTCTCTGAATGCCGTATTATAAACATTAAAAGCAGCTACGTTTTTTTTTCGCATTAATTTGCAATCTCCAACGTTGACACCAATCCGCCAACATTAACTGAGCGAGCGCTCATCCGCTGCTGTGAGAGCAATACCATCAGCGTATAACAATAAACTCATTAGTTACCGTCAATATCTACGTACGCCACACTGCAGATGGTTTATTTCTTGTGCTAAATCATTGATGAAAACAGGAAATAATGCCCGGGGCAAGACACAGCCTTGTCTTACTTCGCTAAATACTGGGAACATATAGTCAAGTCTCGTTAATCCGACATACTCGTTAATCCGACACAATCATATGCAACCAACAATGTCGGATTAACGAGACTTGACTGTGTCAGTCAGACGACCATTGACAAATACACATGATTTATTATTTTTTTATTTGGCCGTCGACGCACCGGGTCCGTATCTTGTCAAAGTTTTGATTTCTCTACCTCCCTTTTTATAGCTGTAATAGAGTTGTGTAAGCAATCTTGGTTGTTTATTAGCGCTGATCGAGTTAATTTGTGATCTGTGTGAGCGCAGATTGGATTTATTTTTAATTGTCAGCTATTAATACAATTAGTAAAACTATTTATTTAATAAACCTGTACAACCATGTACTCTTTATCACTTTATTCTTATTGTGAGACATCCCTGATCATAGGAGCACAGCTCCGCGAGAGTAGGGTATCCTGGTGGTTAAAGCGTTGGTTCGTCACGCCGAAGACCCCGGTTCGATTCTACACATGGGTACAATGTGTGAAGCCCATTCATGGTGTCCCAAGCCGTGATATTGCTGCAATATTGCTAAAAGCGGCGTAAAACCATACTAACTCGCTCATTAATTTCCTGTTATTGATAACGGAATAGCGTGTATATATACACACTATTCCGTTACCAATATATATATGGTCAGTGGTGCTATGTTCAGCGCAAAAGCCATTCTGTTTTACAACCAATTTCACATTAGAGTCAAGCCAATAGGTGAAACGGAGATTCAATAAATTAGACTATAGTTTACATGGAATAGATATCAATGATATACCACGATTACCTAAAGGGTCCCTTACGTTTGTACCGGACTTTCTGATAAGCGGTACACCGCCTCCGTGGTCTTGTGGTAGAGCGTCCGCCCTGAGAGCGGAAGGTCCTGGGTTCGATCCCGGGCCGCGTCATACAAAAAGACGTTAAAAGATTGTACTTGTTGTTACCCTGTCTGGCGCTCGGCATTAAGGGACTAAAACAAGGACCGGTCGGCTCGGAGTCAGTATACTGTGTCTGAGTGGGGTATTCATGTTAAACTGCGGCATGGTATATCAGTGAGCTAGCACTATAAATCGGCATCAGTCCGGACTAGTACAAGCAGCCACACACACACATACACGTGCATGCACGTCGCTATATAAGTGCAATAATCTTGGACGCGATGTTAAACCCAATTTCACCTCACCTCACCTCTGATAAGCGGTAGAATACTATCACGCCACTTTTCTGGACAGATGTCATCATTAAAGCAATATGTAAAAATGGTGAACAAATAAAGTAACACAAGAATTGTTTTTCAGCGCTTCACCCCACTTTCCCCACTGATACACAAATGAAGGGTTCGGCTAGATCAGCATTTCTGATACACGATGACGAAGTAACAATGCAATGCATGATATACCATGAGTGGCTGAACCAATCAAGCATTACTAATACACCAATAACGGGCTTAACCATACACAGATTACTGATGACGAATGTAACAGTCTAAGCATTACTTGTACACCATGTCAAATTTAATAATGCAAGCATTACTGATACCAGACAAGCATTACTGATACACCGATAGATTTCCTAACCATTCAATCGGTGTGTCAGACATGCTTGCGTGGTATACCATGTCCTAACCATTAATTCAGTGTGTCAGAAATTCTTGCGTGGTAAACCATGTCCTAGCCATTAAATCGGTGTGTCAGACATGCTTGCGTGGTATACCCTGTCCTAACCATTTATTCAGTGTGTCAGAAATTCTTGCGTGGTATACCATGTCCTAACCATTAATTCAGTGTGTCAGAAATTCTTGCGTGGTAAACCATGTCCTAGCCATTAAATCGGTGTGTCAGACATGCTTGCGTGGTACACCATGTCCTAACCATTCAATCGGTGTGTCAGAAATGCTTGTCAGTAAACCATGTCCTAACCATTCAATCGGTGTGTCAGAAATGCTTGTCAGTAAACCATGTCCTAACCATTCAATCTGTCTGTCAGAAATGCTTGTCAGTAAACCATGTCCTAACCATTCAATCGGTGTGTCAGAAATGCTTGTCAGTAAACCATGTCCTAACCATTTAATCGGTGTGTCAGACATGCTTGTCAGTAAACCATGTCCTAGCCATTCAATCGGTGTGTCAGAAATGCTTGTCAGTAAACCATGTCCTAACCATTCAATCGGTGTGTCAGAAATGCTTGCGTGGTAAACCACGTCCTAACCATTTAATCTGTGTGTCAGAAATGCTTGTCAGTAAACCATGTCCTAACCATTCAATCGGTGCGTCAGAAATGCTTGTCAGTAAACCATGTCCTAGCCATTCAATCGGTGTGTCAGAAATGCTTGTCAGTAAACCATGTCCTAACCATTCAATCTGTCTGTCAGAAATGCTTGTCAGTAAACCATGTCCTAACCATTTAATCGGTGTGTCAGACATGCTTGTCAGTAAACCATGTCCTAGCCATTCAATCGGTGTGTCAGAAATGCTTGTCAGTAAACCATGTCCTAACCATTCAATCGGTGTGTCAGAAATGCTTGCGTGGTAAACCACGTCCTAACCATTTAATCTGTGTGTCAGAAATGCTTGTCAGTAAACCATGTCCTAACCATTCAATCGGTGCGTCAGAAATGCTTGTCAGTAAACCATGTCCTAGCCATTCAATCGGTGTGTCAGAAATGCTTGTCAGTAAACCATGTCCTAACCATTCAATCTGTGTGTCAGAAATGCTTGCGTGGTAAACCATGTCCTAACCATTCAATCGGTGTGTCAGAAATGCTTGTCAGTAAACCATGTCCTAACCATTCAATCGGTGTGTCAGAAATGCTTGTCAGTAAACCATGTCCTAACCATTCAATCGGTGTGTCAGAAATGCTTGTCAGTAAACCATGTCCTAACCATTTAATCGGTGTGTCAGACATGCTTGTCAGTAAACCATGTCCTAGCCATTCAATCGGTGTGTCAGAAATGCTTGTCAGTAAACCATGTCCTAACCATTCAATCGGTGTGTCAGAAATGCTTGTCAGTAAACCATGTCCTAACCATTCAATCTGTCTGTCAGAAATGCTTGTCAGTAAACCATGTCCTAACCATTTAATCGGTGTGTCAGACATGCTTGCGTGGTATACCATGTCCTAACCATTTAATCGGTGTGTCAGACATGCTTGCGTGGTATACCATGTCCTAGCCATTCAATCGGTGTGTCAGAAATGCTTGTCAGTAAACCATGTCCTAGCCATTCAATCGGTGTGTCAGAAATGCTTGTCAGTAAACCATGTCCTAGCCATTCAATCTGTGTGTCAGAAATGCTTGTCAGTAAACCATGTCCTAGCCATTCAATCTGTGTGTCAGAAATGCTTGTCAGTAAACCATGTCCTAACCATTCAAGACCCGTGAAGATTCGGGGTAGAATAGGTCTTCAGCAACCCATGCTTGTCGTAAGAGGCGGCTGTGCTTGTTGTAAGAGGCGACTAACGGGATCGGGTGGTCAGGCTCGCTGACTTGGTTGATGCATGTCATCGATCCCAATTGCGTTGATCGATGCTCATGATATCAATCACTGGATTGTCTGGTCCAGACTCGATTATTTACAGGTCGCCTTCATATAGCTGGACTATTGCTGAGTGCGGCGTTAAACAACAAACAATCAATCAAACCTAACCATTCAAGCATTCCTCAACAGTGTCATACAGGGATCGGCGTCAACAGCATGTACCGCAACCTCTACAACCCGCCAACGAAGGTCATCATGTACGGACCAGGCTGTTCCTTCGTGACGGAAGCCACTGCGCAGGCGTCCCACATGTGGAATCTCGTCCAGGTAACAGTGAGCGCGGGGATATTATTTTACGCCGCTGTTGGCCATATTACAGCTTTACCACGGCGACCAGTAAACAATCAAATCAAGTTTGCCAGTAGCGCCGGAGCGTTCTTTCGCTTTATGTCCTTAAAATAAGCGATCAAGAAATGTCTGAATTGGCTATAACACAGGTCATATTCAGGAAGAGTGAGTGAGTGAGTTTAGTTTAACGCCGCTTTAACAGTATTCCAGTTATATCACGCCGTGTCAGCTTAATGTGGGAGGAAAGCCCGAAGTGATGCAGGTCTCAGACGTTTACCACTTCGGTGAAACTCACGAGCACGAGTATGGTTCTGACAAACCTAGAAACATAATTGGGGCGAACCGGGATTCGAACCCACAATCATAGGTTTCTGACGTGCCCAAGGGACGCAACTCTGCATAGCGAATCGCGGCGCCTTAGACGGCTGGGCCACCCGTGCCCCCCCAATCAAATCGATGCAAACAAGTGGTCGAAAGAATGAACAACCACCGGCATTGTCGGTGTATAATGCCAATACAAGACTGGGTCCAACCGATCTCATTGGTCGGTTCTGATGACAAGCACAGAGTACAGAACACACTCTGCCCCGGTTACCGGCGGATACTAGTATGTCCAGGAATGCCGTTTGTCGCCAGCGTGTAATTGTTATGTTTATATTCACTGTATTTTCATACACAATGCGCTGAAAGGTGAAAACAAGTCACCCTCTACCTCTTCCTGAATAGCGGCCACGGGTGGCCCAGTCGCCTAGGGCGCCGCAATTCGCTGTGCAGAGTTGCGTCCCTTGGGCACGCCAGGAACCTATGATTGTGGGTTCGAATCCCGGTTCGCCGCGATTATGTTTCTAGGTTTGTCAGCACCATACCCGTGCTCGTGGGTTTCACCGAAGTGTTTAACGTCTGAGAACTAAATCACTTGGGGCTTTCCTCCCACATTAAGCTGACACGCCGTGATATAACTGGAATACTGTTAAAAGCGGCGTTAAACCTAACTCAGTCACTCATTCTTCCTGAATATGACCTGTGTTTTAGCCAATTCAGACATTTCTTGATCGCTTATTTTAAGGACATAAAGCGAAAGAACGCTCCGGCGCTACTGGCATTCAACGTTGCCGTAAGCGATACTATTGGAATAAATTCCTTTTCGTTAAAGCATTAACGTTGTATCTTTTGACAATCTAATTTTGAGTCAACGATTCCCGTCTTTATATCTTTATGTCAAATAGAATTAAACTCTACCATTAAAGCATGTCCGATACCCGCAGTCTGTTAGGCGTATCGAACACCGAAACATATCATTCAGGCATTATAAAGCTGGGTTTTTTTCTATTTTCTGTTCAAATGCCTACTTTTCGGCGTCCTCGATTACCAGTGCATCGTAATATTTCCATTTTGCACTATCAGTACCCTTGACCTATTCCTCCCTGAAGCTTGATTTCAGAAGTCATGTCACAATATCTCTCATTTCGGGTTAGAATTGGTCGTCAGCAACCCATACTTGTCGTAAGAGGTGACTAACGAAATCGGGTGGTCACCCTCGCTGACTTGGTTGATGCATAATTATCATCGCATCAGTTGCGTAGATCGAAGTCGATGATGTCAATCACTTGATTGCCTGGTCTAGATTCGATTATTCACAGACCGCCGTCATATAGCTGGAATATTGTTTGGTGTGGCGTTAAACAACAAACAAACAAATCTTATTTCCTTGTCTTTGGCGATGATAAGTTTGACTATGGGACGCATTGGTAAAGGAAGCATGCACTGTCAATTTGATCATATTGTTTTGGGTTTAACGAGAAATGTCTTGACGGGTCTTTTTCAATGTTATAAAGTGTACTATAGCCTTATAGGCTGGATATTACTTTTAATAGGGTGAATGTTTGTATGAGTCATGTAAATGACGGAACGCGAAGATCCGGGGTGGAATAGGTCTTCAGCAATCCATGCTTGTCGTAAGAGGCGACTCACGGGATGGGGTGGTAAGATCGCTGACTTGGTTAATGCATGTCATCGTGTCCCAATTGCGTGGACCGATGCTCATGATGTCAATCACTGGATTGTCTGGTCCAGACTCGATTATTTACAAACCGCCGTCATACAGCTGGAATACTGCTGGGTATCCGTGACATGCTTACCCCTCACCCCACCCCCACCATTCCCCTACATTCATCACACTGTATAACTCTATCCGCCCCCACATGTATCCGTCCTCAACCTAACACCCCTCTCACAATACCTCTAGATCCACCCACTATCATCTACCCGAGGCAAGTGAGTTAACTTACTATAGTAGTCTAGTTTCCACCCTTGCCGAACTAGGCTGGTATTATGGAGTTACATTTTGGCTGGACCAACGAGTCTATGCATAGTCCAATCAAAATCACGCACCGAAATCGGAATCCGGTTCGTAGAGTTTCGTTCAGATTTCGTTCGACTGCAGGATTTGCAAAGCATGTGCACCGCTAACTCGTTGTCAACAGATATTTTCGAAATCTTTTCATGTTTTTAATCAAGGTGATCACGTGATTTGATGCACTTCGCGATGTAAAACTCGTTTAACACAAAATAGATCTTGATTATCGATCAGATCGTCTTGATTGGGCGCCACCGTTTTGTTTGAAACAAATGCAAGTGATACGAGAGGTTGAATCTGATTGGTCAATAGGAGAGGCATAGAAAGGACATAACTCGTAATAGCCACTGGTGGCGCTACGATCGAGCCCAGGAATTCAAGCCTAGTTCGGCAAGGGTGGAAACTGGACTTTTAAAGTCAGTTAACTCTCTTGCCTCGGGAAGATGGCCCACTTTATCTATAAATGAACTTGTAGTTGGGAAGATGTTAGCCTGAGCATTAAGACGGAAAAGGAAGCAGAGATATTCTACAACACGTTCGTTGTATTTGAGACGACACGCATGAAATCGATTACTGGGGATAAAGCTGATCGTTTCAATCTCGGTGTAATTTGTGTGGATGGCTTTTGTTGGCACCGTGTCGTTCGAACAAAGCTATCACGGCAAATGGATCCAGGGTATTTATAATCGTAGAATAAAGATAGTATGTGCTTGATAATCAGTATAACTAAGGATTCACATAAATATAGAACATCAGGGGGTAACCAGTCTCGATTATCCGACAAAACCGATTGCATTGGGCGTTAAAGGTAAAATAGCAGGGCAAATGATGTGAATCACGTACAGTAAACTACGGTTATAACGAACTCAAAGGGACTACTAATTTTAGTTCGTTATAACCGCAGTTCGTTATAAGCATATATACATCATAACTACAGCAAATAGTCGGGACCAAAAAAGTAAGTTCGTTATATCCGTCAGTTCGTTATAAGCGTGTTCGTTATAACCGTAGTTTACTGTATATGATCCAAGTACTCACATACCTTTGTGTTCCAGATATCATGGGGGTCAATCTCACCGGCGTTGTCAGATAAGACCAAATTTCCACGTTTCTTCAGAGCCAATCCCCCTGAAGTGGAAGTGAACCCGGCAAGAATCCAGCTTTTCAAGAGATTCAACTGGGCCAAGATTGCCACCATCCACGAGTCTTATGAACTTTTTTCTGCGGTATCAACATTTTATTTATATATTTTCCTCCTCTTCGTGCAATTGTATGACACTAAGGTGAGGTGAGGTGAAATTGGGTTTAACGTCGCGTCCAAGATTATTGCACTTATATAGCGACGTGCATGCACGTGTGTGTGTTTGTGTGGCTGCTTGTACTAGTCCGGACTGATGCCGATTTATAGTGCTAGCTCACTGAGATACCATGCCACAGTTTAACATGAATACCCCACTCAGACACAGTATACTGTCTCCGAGCCGACTAGTCCTTGTTTTAGCCCCTTAATGCCGAGCGCCAGACAGGGTAACAACAAGTACCATCTTTTAACGTCTTTTGGTATGACGCGGCCGGGGATCGAACCCCGGACCTTCCGCTCTCCGGGCGGACGCGCTACCACTAGACCACGGAGGCGGCCTGTATCACACTAAGACTATCAACGCTTGTAACACTGGCCGCCAGTTGCCTGACACCATGTTTCATTTTAAGTATATTTCGGACATAACTGACACATGTATGAGATCGGTTCCGGAGCATACACTAATTAACAAATCGATCTCAGCCTCGAGACTATGATTCCCCACACTCTTACAGTGTGTTTCTTGTCGACCTACAAATGTACATCCCATTTTGACCCTTGAAGTTTCGGGGCAGAATAGGTCTTCAGCAACCCATGCTTGCCGTAAAAGGCGACTATGCTTGTCGTAAGAGGCGACTGACGGGATCGGGTGGTCAGGCTCATGACTTGGTTGATGCATGTCATCGTATTCCAATTGTGTAGATCGATGCTCATGATGTCAATCACTGGATTGCCTGGTCCAGACTCGAATATTGATGAATGCGGCGTTAAACAACAAACACAAATAACACATGTGATTGTGGATTTTAAGTGGTAAACGCCTAAGATCTGCATTACTTCGGGATTTTCTCCCACATTAACCTGACACCAAGTGGTAGAAGGGAAAAACCGTTGAACCCAAATCTCTGTCATTCAACCAGTAACTGAGTGAAGATGATATTGTCTTGACTAGCCAACAGAGGACTTGCTGCACAGAATCCAAGATGAAAACATGACTGTCATCAGATCCGAAATCATCACAAAAGACCCTGCATTTCAAGTTGCCAACTTGAAGGTAAATAGACAATGCTTGTATAGTAAACTACGGTTATAACGAACTGACGGATATAACGAACTTACTTTTTTGGTCATAGCTAATTGCTGTAGTTATGATGTATATATACTTATATCGGACTACGGTTATAACGAAATAAAATTACCAGTCCCTTTGAGTTCGTTATAACCGTAGTTTACTGTAGTCCCTTTGAGTTCGTTATAACCGTAGTTTACTGTACTTCTCTACTGTAACGTTTATTTAGGAGACAAACGCATTTTGTTTCAAGTGTAAATAAAGGCGACAAAATCGTTTTCCATAATCATAATACATTTATGCTATAAGTAGCATCCAGTGTACGATTCCGACTAAATCATAAGCATGGCTATTTGAAACGCTACGCTGTAAAGACTGTGTTTAAAATGGAAACACATACAAGATACGTTGAAACATGTTTAAAATGTTTGAATATGTTTCGAATTTAAACATGTTTACATGTAAGACATGCTATATATTTAAGACATATATATATATATATATATATATATATATATATATATATATATATATATATATATATATATTGAAATTAGACGTGGATATCAGATTCACAGGCACTTTTGCAAAACACATTTTTTCCACACTTTTAGCCAACTTGGTACAATATTACTAGTTAATGATGACTAGGACATTAACACTTGTGACGACAACAGTCTCCGTAGCCCAGTGATAGCAGCATTAGGACTAGGACATTAACACCTGTTACGACAACAGTCTCCGTAGCCAAGGGGGTAGCGGCATTAGGACTAGGACATTAACACTTGTTACGACAACAGTCTCAGTAGCCCAGGCGGTAGCAGCATTAGGACTAGGACATTAACACTTGTTACGACAACAGTCTCAGTAGCCAAGGGGGTAGCAGCATTAGGACTAGGACATTAACACTTGTTACGACAACAGTCTCCGTAGCCCAGGGGGTAGCGGCATTAGGACTAGGACATTAACACTTGTTACGACAACAGTCTCCGTAGCCTAGGGGGTAGCAGCATTAGGACTAGGACATTAACACTTGTGACGACAACAGTCTCCGTAGCCCAGGGGGTAGCAGCATTAGGACTAGGACATTAACACTTGTTACGACAACAGTCTCCGTAGCCCAGGGGGTAGCAGCATTAGGACTAGGACATTAACACTTGTGACGACAACAGTCTCCGTAGCCCAGGGGGTAGCAGCATTAGGACTAGGACATTAACACGTGTGACGACAACAGTCTCAGTAGCCCAGGCGGTAGCAGCATTAGGACTAGGACATTAACACTTGTTACGACAACAGTCCCCGTAGCCCAGGGGGTAGCAGCACTAGGACTAGGACATGAACACTTGTGACGACAACAGTCTCAGTAGCCCAGGCGGTAGCAGCATTAGGACTAGGACATTAACACTTGTTACGACAACAGTCTCCGTAGCCAAGGGGGTAGCAGCATTAGGACTAGGACATTAACACTTGTGACGACAGCAGTCTCAGTAGCCCAGGCGGTAGCAGCATTAGGACTAGGACATTAACACTTGTGACGACAACAGTCTCAGTAGCCCAGGCGGTAGCAGCATTAGGACTAGGACATTAACACTTGTGACGACAACAGTCTCAGTAGCCCAGGCGGTAGCAGCATTAGGACTAGGACATTAACACTTGTGACGACAACAGTCTCAGTAGCCCAGGCGGTAGCAGCATTAGGACTAGGACATTAACACTTGTTACGACAACAGTCCCCGTAGCCCAGGGGGTAGCAGCACTAGGACTAGGACATTAACACTTGTGACGACAACAGTCTCAGTAGCCCAGGCGGTAGCAGCATTAGGACTAGGACATTAACACTTGTTACGACAACAGTCTCCGTAGCCAAGGGGGTAGCAGCATTAGGACTAGGACATTAACACTTGTGACGACAGCAGTCTCAGTAGCCCAGTGATAGCAGCATTAGGACTAGGACATTAACACTTGTGACGACAACAGTCTCAGTAGCCCAGGCGGTAGCAGCATTAGGACTAGGACATTAACACTTGTGACGACAACAGTCTCAGTAGCCCAGGCGGTAGCAGCATTAGGACTAGGACATTAACACTTGTTACGACAACAGTCTCAGTAGCCCAGGCGGTAGCAGCATTAGGACTAGGACATTAACACTTGTTACGACAACAGTCTCCGTAGCCCAGGGGGTAGCAGCATTAGGACTAGGACATTAACACTTGTTACGACAACAGTCTCCGTAGCCAAGGGGGAAGCAGCATTAGGACTAGGACATTAACACTTGTGACGACAGCAGTCTCAGTAGCCCAGGCGGTAGCAGCATTAGGACTAGGACATTAACACTTGTGACGACAACAGTCTCAGTAGCCCAGGCGGTAGCAGCATTAGGACTAGGACATTAACACTTGTTACGACAACAGTCTCAGTAGCCCAGGCGGTAGCAGCATTAGGACTAGGACATTAACACTTGTGACGTCAACAGTCTCAGTAGCCCAGTGATAGCAGCATTAGGACTAGGACATTAACACCTGTGACGACAACAGTCTCCGTAGCCCAGTGATAGCAGCATTAGGACTAGGAAATTAACACCTGTGACGACAACAGTCTCCGTAGCCCAGTGATAGCAGCATTAGGACTAGGACATTAACACTTGTGACGACAACAGTCTCCGTAGCCTAGGCGGTAGAAGCATTAGGACTAGGACATTAACACTTGTTACGACAACAGTCTCCGTAGCCTAGGCGGTAGAAGCATTAGGGACTACAAATCAAGAGGTTACAGGTTCGAATCCCGCCGAGGTTTAAAAATCTATGAGTTAATAAATGTGTTGTTGCTCTATAACACAGTCACTTCTGTATCCCCATTAAACGCTAACAAGGCACCCCTTTTTAAATTACCTACAATGTATTTGAAGGGGGGTCTATACATTTAGACCCTAAACACAATTCTAAACATGTTAAGGTCTAAAAATGTCAAAAGTATGGGACAAGGAACGTTTGTGTTTAGGATCTAAACAATTTTTTACAGTGTATGTGTTTGAGAAAAGGTGAGCGCACCCTGCCTCGCCGATGGCACCCGTCAGAAACACATGCAATGGCAAGTCAATGTTTCACCTGAAACAATATGGGATGATATGGTAAAGTCAAAATAGGGAATTAAATCGGCATAAGTTTTGTCACTGTTGTAAACTTGATCAAACAACTTTTGAGCAAGAGTCGTGTGACACTCTTTGAAATCTTCGTACTGCAGAAATGCAGTACACATTATTACACTGTTTGAGTAGCTTGCACCGGATTGGTGTTTAATTCGCAGTTCAATTACATTTTGTCAAGATAATGTTAACTTTCTTTCAGGAGAGCGATGCCAGAATCATAGTGGGCAGTTTCTATGAAGGCACGGCCAGAAAGGTGTTCTGCGAGGTAAGTGAGTGAGTTGGGTTTAACGCCGCTTTTAACAGTATTCCAGTTATATCACGGCGTGTCAGCTTAATGTAGGAGGAAAGCCCGAAGTGATGCAGGTCTCAGACGTTTACCAGTTCTGCGAGGGTAGTTTATTAAGCATTATAATTATGTGCATAATCCGAGTGAGTCTACGGTTTTCTCCCGGCTTTTAGCAATATTCAGTCAATATCACGGTGGGGTCACCCTTTTAACGCTTTAACCTCAAGACTACCCCATTGCTCCTTTCACATTAGTAATTAATGTCATTTCATGGAATATGTGGACAAACGTTAACGTCAACTATACATATTGCGGTATATGTAAAATATGGGTCAATCATGCCATTAATCAATAAAGGCAATATACCAAAATACTACCGTGCAAATTATTAACATGTTGTATTTGTAATTGTGCTATAACATGTTTATCAGAATGCGCCTTTGTTTTAATAAAAACCACTTTGCAACAATGTAATTTTTGTGGAAAGCAATTGTTTTTAACAGTTTGAAACATAATTATTTCAAATGGTCGGTCCCTCGTGCCATGTATAAAAATTTTGCTTATTCCATGGATGAGAAAATCAAGAATGGAATCATATGGTGTACCATCGTAAAATAAAACACGGGCTTTGGGCAAGACGAGCGTACGAATCAACACAAAGGTTACCAAGCCCAGCTTTAATTTGGCCACCCCTGAAGATCCGGGGTAGAATACCCCTTGTCTTCAGTAACCCATGCTTGCCGTAAAAAAGTGTCTATGCTTGTTAAAAGGCGACTAACGGGATCGGGTGGTCAGGCTCGCTGACTTGCTTGATGCATGTCATCGTATTCCAATTGCGTAGATCGATGCTCATGATGCCAATCACCGGGTTGTCTGGTCCAGGCTCAATTATTTACAGAGCGCCGTCATATAGCTGGAATATTGCTGAGTGCGGCGTTAAACAACAAATCAACAATCCAACCAACCAAATTGCGTAGATTGGTGCTCATGATGTCAATCACTTGATTGTCTGGTCCAGACTCAATTATTTACAGACCGCCGTCATATAGCTGGAATATTGCTGAGTGCGGCGTTTATCAACAAACAAACAAACATTGATTAATTAATTAATTAATTAATTAATTAATTAATTAATTTGGTCAACGTCAATTCTGTCTCGTCTTATCTCCAAGGCATACAAGAACAATCTGTACGGCCCTAAGATAGTGTGGATAACTGCCGGCTGGTACGAAGATCGATGGTGGACTACTACAGACGCAGCCATCGACTGTACACCAGAACAGCTTGCTGTGGTTGTGGAGGGATCTATTGGTGTGTCCAGGGTGCTACTCAACCCCCGAGATGAGGTGACTTTGTCTGGCGTCAGGCCGAGTGAGTTTATGAAGTTGTACAACGCCCGCTCGGACAACGGATCCTGGTTCGCCAGCATGTTCGCGTCTCTCAGCTATGACTCCATCCTCGCCATCTCACTTGCGCTCAATACAACACAGGGCTATCTGGCGGCTACGGGTTCGTAACAGACATATATATATTATTAATGTTGTCACGAATAAATTTAAACTACTCACTCCAATGGTTAAATCGCAAGTGCACTTTTCATGTTGTCATAACATTCAATAATGCAACGTAAAATTTGTTTGTTTGTTGTTTAACGCCGCAGTATTCCAGCTACATGTATATCACGGCGGTCTGTAAATTTCGAGTCGGGACCAGACAATCCAGTGATTGACATCATGGGCATCGATCCACGCAACTGGGATACGATGACATCATGCATCAACCTAGTCAGCGACTATGCTTGTCGTAAAAGGCGACTAAAGGGATCGGGTGGTAAGACTCGCTGACTTGGTTGATGCATGTCACCGATCCCAATTGCTTGGATCGATGTTGATGATGTCAATCAATGGATAGTCTGGTCCAGACACGATTATTTACAGACCGCCATCATATAGCTGGAATATTGCTGAGTGCGGCGTTAAACAACATTGTCCAAACAAATCTTTCGTTCAGCTTTCTGATTCTTTTGAATATATTTTCATGCTAGAATCATCTTAATTAGGCTCGTCACTCATAACAAATGCATTGAACCATTTAATGACCTTCCCAGAAAGCAACCTAACGCTACAAGACTTCAGCTACACCGACGACACGATAGGCTCCATCATCTTCCAAAGCATGAAGGATGTCCACTTCACTGGCATGGCTGGACACTTATCTTTTAATGAGAAAGGGGATCCAATAGGCCTGTACACAATCAATAGGATTCAAGGTAATTACTTCATTGTATTCGTATCATGTTTAACCGGTTGTGTATTATCCAATTACCTCGTTGACAAAGGTATTGGTATAAACAACCTTAAGCTTGGGATTATGAAGTGGAGCTGTGATGATGGCAATCTTAATATATTCATTATAAGGGCAATCACCTTTCACGTTCCTCAGCCACGATACTGCGGTGCTCACGTGCACAATTGCTATGGATCTCGAAAGGATTTCTGTACATGTGATTTTATGATACTAGTTTCTGTTCGATCAACATTTCTTGTAATTTAGACTTAACGTGCAATTGTGTGACCAGATTTCTGGTCATCACTTGATTGTCTGGTTTGTTGACAAGCCGCTGACGCTTGGCAAGATTACTGATGTGTTACATGATTTTTTACTGTTATTCCACTGTATCTCTATCCCGTGGTACATGACTGAATAAAATAAAAAAAAATAAAAAAAAGATTACTGATTTGCGGCGGCAGGCAATTATTAAACATATTTTTAATGCAAAATGTGTGAGCGGCGGGTAGGCAGGACATGCTTACCCTTTTCACGGACATCGGATATCATCCCTGATGTTCAGTGGTCCATTTATGTAGTTTTCACCATATTTTGCCTTTTTCGTCCAACGTATGTTTCGTTGGAAAATCGACACTGGTTATTCTCGAGGATTCCCATTTTATATGGTATTGTTTTGTTTTGTTTGTTGTTTAACGCCGCACTCGGCAATATTCCAGCTTTATGTCGGCGGTCTGTAAATAATCGAGTCTGGACCAGACAATCCAGTGTTTGACATCATGAGCATCGATCCACGCAATTGGGATACGATGACATGTATCAACCAAGTCAGCGAGCCTGACCACCCGATCCCGTTAGTCGCCTCTTACGACAAGCATAGTCGCCTTTTAGGGCAAGCATAGGTTGCTGTAGACACTCCAGTGATTGACATCATGAGCATCGATCCACGCAATTAGGATACGATGACATGCATCAACCAAATCTTCTTACACTTGTTCTGATGACGACAAAATATATCTGAACTGAGGACCAAAAGAGAGTACACCAAGTTTGTTTCTGTGTGATTGAAAACTGTTGTTAAGTTTGAGTGTTTCTATTCAACCATCACACATTCCTACAACAATCTGTAGTCCGTGGCTTGGTAATTTTGTGTTAAATATATTCGTTCAACGGATTTGCAACAACATGACCCCTACCGCGTTTAAAATACTGTAAACGCGTGCCGAACAATGTAAATATATTGCCTTATAAAGATAAGATGTCTCAGATTACTATCAGGTTTTGTTGCTGATTAAAGTATCAAATGAAATCATCGTTTACAAAATAAATGTCCAAGTATTCTTTGAGTGCTGACGAAGCTAACATATCGCATATCGCTAACGTATGACATTTTCAGTTGAAAATCAAACATATAAGCTCAGCCGAGGGGATGTAGTCTCGTTTCATGCGAGTTTGTTTTGGGATGGTTAATATCCTGCATTATGAATAAACATTTATTCAGCGAGCCTTGACGAGCTAAATACATAATGTTTATTCCTAATACAGGATATTTACCACCCCAAACACACAAACGTGATAACCTGTTTATCATATAAAGTCATTCTTTAATTCTGTGCTTGAAAAACGCTTTCCCTCTATCACAAACATTACCGAAACATCGCGAGTTTCCTGGAATACGCGCATTAATATTTATTACGTCAAATGGTAAGTGATGTGTCAGTCGGACAGTAACAGTAGCCAATATAGTTCCAACTGAAATCTGTTTCTTATACCGTGGCGAAGCAACATTTAACAACAATTGTTTTTAATTGCCTTTCCCGGCAATCCATCGGTCTGTCCGCTTGAGTAACTGCCCTTTGTCAAAGGGAAGCTATTCTAACCCTAGTCTGTGAGACGTCACGGCCACGTTCAGACGTTGCTGACAGTGGGCCTGTCCTGTCATAACGTTAAGAAGTGCAGTCAGATGTACACACAGCGACAAAACGAAACAAGGTAACAATTCAAACATATTTCGGCCAAATCCAACTATTTGAATTTGTGGAGAAGGTTTCAAGCCGCAGAGGTCTACTGATCCCGCTTGGCTAGGCCTAGTGACCTCGCAAAATTGTTTCGAAATTTATGTCTCCAAAGATGCCAAAACTTATAAAATGCCTTGGCTACGTCACATTTAGACACTGACTTTCAGTACATTAGGCTGTTCATTTGATAATGACAGCAGTTATCCCTGTAGTTTATCCAGATTCCCGATGGTTAATTCTGACTCGATCGCCGAATGACAAGGGCGACGCTATGTTTGTTTAGAAACACTTAAAGTACGTAGTATCTACTTGACCTTTGATATTTGCATCTCTATCCGCATATGACCCCAACGGATATCGTTTTTATCCTTTGGTTTTATCCTGCCGAGAAACCTACCCATTGTATGGTAATTGTCAATTTCTACATGTTGGCCTACTGTGCATACTTAAACTCCCCACACTATAGTAGCATGGTATTAGCCATCTTCGCGAGGCAAAAGCATCCACTAGCCTTTTTATCAAAGTCTTGTTGCCACATCTTCCCCAGGCAAGAGCATCCACTAGCCTTCTTATCAAAGTCTTGTTTCCACATCTTCCCGAGGCAAGAGCGTCCACTTGCTCTTTTATCAAAGTCTTGTTTCCATATCTTCCCGAGGCAAGAGCGTCCGTTAGCCTTTTTATCAAAGTCTTGTTTCCATATCTTCCCTAGGTAAGACCACCACTAGTCTTTTTATCAAAGTCTTGTTTCTACATCTTCCCGAGGCAAGAGCGTACACGTGCCTTTTTATCAAAGTCTTGTTTCCAAATCTTCCCGAGGCAAGAGCGTCCACTCGCCTTTTTATCAAAGTCTTGTTTCCACATCTTCCCGAGGCAAGAGCGTCCACTAGCCTTTTTATTAAAGTCTTGTTTCCACCCTTGCCAAATCAAGCCCACATTCCTGTGTTAAATATGATTGGACCATCGCACATATCGATAGTCCAATCAAAGAACGTTTCACACAATCAACATCCACGACTGGTACACCATCGTGTGAAAGTGATTTACCACTGCCTGTCTTCGTTTCCACGGATATGTCTTTTTCATCTTTTACAACCTCCCAACGATTGCCTTTTTTGTCAGGGATGAAATCGCGAATGTTTTCATTATCTGATAATGGTCGTCGCCTATGGTAGTCGCCATCTCTGTGAAGCTACACGAGTTAAGAACAGCGAGCTGATTGGATACCGCGTTTTCATTACAAGGGGCATAACTCGTGATCTACGCGTGATGGCGCCAGTGGCGCAAGTGGCCTTGATGTGGCAAGGGAATAAACTAGCTTTGATATAGGCTAGTGGACACGCTTGCCTCGGGAAGATGGAACGCGGCTGACCTTGATTCTTCTGATGAATGAATGTCCATTACTGCATTCAGGTGGTCAGTCTGTCATGGTAGGTCTCTACGACCCGACACTCCAATCAAGTTCTCAGGTTGATTGGCTACCGGAAACAGACCCAATTGTATGGCAAGGTAGGTTAAAAAATCCTTTACTTTCTATTATGTGTGTATTTGTTGTTTAACGCCGCACTCAGCAATATTACAGCTCTATGACGCGTCCTGTAAATAATCGAGCCTGGACCAGACAATCCAGTGGTTGATGATGTGAGCAACGATAAGTCGGGGTACAATGACGTCATCTAAGTCTTAACTTTTGCGACCAGATCAGTTTTTTCTTACCAGTTCTAACCCGGAATCACTAGGGGGTCACTTGTGGTATCTTATTTAGGAAGGACATACATGTATGCATATACACTACTATAATATATCTATTGACAGAATTTTATGTTAATCTCGAATTCTATAATAACAGTCAATGTTGGAACTACTTTTCAGACTAAGATTAGAAAGACAATATAATACAGCAAATTTGGATTTTTGCTTGCCAAATAACATGTTATCTGAAGCGCTGCCTACTCCAACCACAATGCTTACGTTATTGTCCTGTTGTTGACATCAGCATTTTTGTCCTCACATGATCCCGGTCGGATAACCTTTTGCATAACGGGAGTTCCATTATGACGTATTTATGTCAAGTGCTGGTACTAGTCCGGACTGAAGCGATTTATAGTGCTAGCCCACCTAGATACCATGCCACAGTTTAACATGAATACCCCACTCAGACACAGTATACTCAGAGTTTTCCAGGCTGTTGGTATACCTTTAAGCCGAATACGTCGCTTTGGGAATATAAACAAATCGATAAAATAAGTTTCAACGTAGTTATATTACTTTGAACATAATTACGTGTTAATTCACCATCCTCCTAAATTACCATATCATATATAGGCCCCATCACTTGACATTTTTAGGTCAAGCTTTAATTGCTCACTCAAGAAACGGAGAGTTAGTGAGTATGATTTTACGCCGCTTTTAGCAATATTCCAGCAATATCACAGCAGGGGACACAGCATTGGGGTTCACACATTGTTCCCAAGAGGGAATGGAACCCGATTTTGAGGCGTGACGAGCGACAGCTTTAACCACCAGGCTACGGAACCGCCCAAGACAAGGATAGCAAAGATGTAAAATGTATCATGTACACCGATTCTCAAAGGTCTACACTGGCTTAAAGTAGAACAGAGAATACGGTTCAAGGTTCTCGTTCTTGTGTTCAAGGCACAGCATGGTCTTGCTCCAAGTTACCTGGAGGATCTCATCATACAATACCAGCCAACAAGAACCCTACGATCTTGTGATCAGTCGTTGCTTGAAGTGCCACCATCAAGAACAATCTCCTACGGGGATCGCTGCTTTGCAAGGGCTGGTCCTCTTCTTTGGAACGCCCCGCCCAAAGAACTCAGAATGCTCAGTGAACAGTGTAAAAAAAACATCTGAAGACACACTTGTTCAGCAAAATATATACGGCCATACCAACTGTGCGAGCTTCAAGAGCGCTTTTGAGCAGTCAGTCTCGAAACTAGCGCTACATAAATACCAAGTTAATTAATAATGTTACATATTGCAGATGGAAAGATTCCACGAGACGCTGTGCTGAAGCTTGTCGAGGTGGAGCACTTGTTCCCTGCTCTTTACATCTGCTTCTGTTGCGTTTCGGGACTAGGGGCGGCATTGTCTGTCTTCTTTCTGGTGTTCAACATATACTACAGGGACCTACGGTCAGCAGCATTATCTGTTTTACTTTCCACTTATACTATCGATTCGTGAAGCCAAGATGAAAACAATCTCATTAAAATCAGATCTTAGTTCTCGCTATCGCTAAACAAAGAGCTGAAGACGTCAGAACAACCTTTCATCCGACCAATCAAAGCATCGCTTACCAGATCGTGAAAGTGACAGTCGGAATGTGTTTTCGAATCATGCAACCTCGAAAAGGTTAACACGGGGTATTCCGAACGACAATTGCGGCCCGTACGACTGATTCCGTCAAAATTATCGTCTATCTCTCGCTTCCGTGGGATAAACTTTTGAATGGAGGAGGCGTTGAACAGTACCTGGGAAGCACTGCCTTACAATCTCAACCATATATTAGACATTCCGTAGTGTTCGTTTATTCAGTTTTCAAAATCTTAATCGAGAAGGTGTCAACATATTTGTCAAGGGTAGTCTGAAATGGAAGTCGCCAGGTTCAAACGAGTGCCGTGAAGCTCGATAAAGCTGCTCTCTAATTGGCTGATGTCGACTTCTTGTCAGTCATTTCAGTGGTCGGTCAATGTTCGCGAGCAACCCATGCTTGCCGTAAAAGGCGACTATGCTTGTCGTAAAAGGCGACTAACGGAATCGGATGGTCAGGCTCGCTGACTTGGTTGAAGCATGTCATCGATCCCAATTTCGTGGATCGATGCTCATGATGTCAATCACTGGATTGTCTGGTCCAGACTCGATTATTTACCAACCGCCGTTATAAAGCTGGAATATTGCCGAATGCGGCGTAAAACCACAAACCAACACAACCAATCAAAGTTCGCGAAAGGTAGTTTTGATGTGACCCGCAATGGGATGTCCTCAGATCTCTGTTTAGCGGCAGCGAGAACTCAGATCTGATTTTAATGAGATTGAAATGAAAATAACCACTGAATAGTAAACCTGTGTCAAATGCAGCACAATCGAATAACCATTTTTGGTTTGTTCAGTTTCTAGCCACCATCAAACATGGGGTGTACTTTCTGTTGCCCGGCTTTTTACATAGTAAGCCGTCCTTATCATTAGGTGCATATTGACGATGACTATGTTGGTTTTAACAATCTGGTGTTTGTTGCAGGGAGGTGAAGATGTCGTCTCCACGGCTCAACAACTTTACACTGATTGGCTGCCTGCTTCTGTACATGACGCCATTTCTTGAGAATACCAGCGCAACTTCCTTCTCGGCCTTCTGTACTGTGAGCCATCATAGAATCAGGGGACTTCCCGTTAGCCCGTCAGATTTTAGTGGTCAATTGTTGTTGTTGGTTTGTTGTTTAACGCCGCACTCAGCAATATTCCAGCTATATGACGGCGGTCTGTAAATAATCGCGTCTGGACCAGACAATCCAGTGATTAATGTCATGGGCATCGATCCACGCAATTGGGATCGATGACATACATCAAACCAAGTCAGCGAGCCTGACCACCTGATCCCGTTAGTCGCCTTTTACGACAAGCATAGTCACCTTTTGCGGCAAGCATGGGTTGCTGAAGACCTGTTCTACCCCGGAATCTTCACGGGTCTTTTAGTGGTCAAGCTTTTCATTTTTACGTGAACATGGCTACGCTTGCATGGTGAATAGTTCTATAGTAAAATCACCCACTGAACTCCTGTAGTAGGAATATCATTCCTGTAACGACAGTTGAAAAAATGATAGGACACCGTACCAGTTCGTTTTCAAAATGAGAAATATACGTTTTGACATATTTTAATGCTTGTACTAGTCCGGACTGATGCCGATTTATAGTGCTAGCCCACTGAGATACCATGCCGCAGTTTAACATGAATACCCCACTCAGACACAGTATACTGACTCCGAGCCGACCAGTCCTTGTTTTAGCCCCTTAATGCCGAGCGCCAGACAGGGTAACAACAAGTACCATCTTTTAACGTCTTTCGGTATGACGCGGCCGCGGATCGAACCCCGGACCTTCCGATCTCCGGGCGGACGCTCTACCACTAGACCACGGAGGCGGAGGCGGAGGCGGTCTTTATAAACTAACTATTCGATTGAGAAATGACATCCCGTGTGAACGGAGATAGGTAATCAGCAGTTGGTCAATTTTCTGGGTTTTTTCTTCAGATCAAAGCGTTTTTCCTGACTCTTGGATTTTCACTCTCATTCGGAGCACTATTTGCCAAAACTTGGCGTGTCCATGTGATCTTCACCAACTCTACCAAGAAGAAGAAGGTAACGTGCTAATAAAACTCACAAATGTTCATCAAATGTGTATGTTGAAATATTACATGTCTCTCACAATATAGGTTCATAATATCATATATCTTACAGTACAGGTTCATTACTTCTTACAATACAGGTTCAGTACTTCTTACAATATAGGTTCAGTACTTCTTAAAAGTCAGGTTCAGTACTTCTTACAATATAGGTTCAGTACTTCTTACAATATAGGTTCAGTACTTCTTAAAAGTCAGGTTCAGTACTTCTTACAATATAGGTTCAGTACTTCTTAAAAGTCAGGTTCAGTACTTCTTACAATATAGGTTCAGTACTTCTAACTTACAATACAGGTTCATTGCGTCTTACATTTCAGGTTCATTACTTCTTACAATACAGGTTCATTACTTCTTACAATACAGGTTCATTACTTCTTAAAAGTCAGGTTCATTACTTCTTACAATACAGGTTCAGTACTCCTTATAATACAGGTTCATTACTTCTTACAATACAGGTTCATTACTTCTTACAAGTCAGGTTCATTACTTCTTAAAAGTCAGGTTCATTACTTCTTACAATACATGTTCATTGCGTCTTACAATACAGGTTGAGTACTTCTTACAAGTCAGGTTCATTACTTTTTACAGTACAGGTTCATTACTTCTTACAATACAGGTTCATTACTTCTTACAATACAGGTTCATTACTTCTTACAAGTCAGGTTCATTACTTCTTAAAAGTCAGGTTCAGTACTTCTTACAATACAGGTTCATTAATTCTTACAAGTCAGGTTCAGTACTTCTTACAATACAGGTTCATTACTTCTTACAATACAGGTTCATTACTTCTTACAAGTCAGGTTCATTACTTCTTAAAAGTCAGGTTCATTACTTCTTACAATACAGGTTCATTGCGTCTCACAATACAGGTTCATTGCGTCTTACAATACAGGTTCATTACTTCTTACAATACAGGTTCATTACTTCTTACAGTACAGGTTCAGTACTTCGTACAAGTCAGGTTCATTACTTCTAAGTAACTCATTTAAAACAGGGTTATTCCTTTTTTCTTACAGTGTATACTTTCGGAATAGACTCGTCACGTTATGGCTGAAATATTGCCGATGTGACGTAAAGCATAAACTCACTCACTCACTTTCGGAATAAGGAGACTGTGCTTCATATAAAGATCAATGAAAATGAATTAATTTTGAAATTAAAAATTGTCTCTTTCAATAGACATTTCTTCGACTTTGAGGTAGTGATTGACAATTTGCGCATGCATGTTAATGACAACCATATTCGGTTGGTGCATCTACGGAATTGGTACCAGACTGCCACTTTAACAGTTCGGACGATTCCTTGGTTGAGACAAATTAGTGGCCAAACCGTACGAAACCGGTTGAGGAAGCACAACAAACAACCGCAACGTCCAGCGATACGACCAATTTTCTTCCAAGTCACAGTCAGGCACGCCTAGCTTTTTGTAGACAGGTTCAGAAGATAAGACAAGGACAGTATACTGTTTACTGATGAGACCAGGTTTTATCTGGACAGCTCTGATGATAGCGCAAGGGTTTTCAGGCGTCCAGGGGTACGGGTTAGCGACGCTTGCGTTACTCAACGTCGTCAGTTTGAGGATGGAAGTGTAATGGTATGGGGTGGCATCACAACTCATGGGAGAACACAACTCTTTATTGTTAATGGCCATTTGAATGGCGATTGCTACCGCGACATCGTCCGAGATCAAGTTCTACCCTTTGTTCAAATGCAGTGACGTAACCTCACACTGCAGCAGGAAAATGACCGCCCACACGTTGCACGTTTTTGAGGCAGCGTAACATTGATGTACTGCCATGGCCGGCTTTTTTTCTCCAGACCTCTCCCAGCAGAACATGTCTGGGATGAGATGGAATGATTCCTACGACAGGACCGGAACCAGACGGTAACGCTGGCTCGGTTAGCCAATTTTTGGATGACGTTTGGAACAATATACCCGGGGCTGTTTTCAATCATCTGGTGTCTGTCTCGCCTATACATTTCAACTCCAACGGTGGTCACTCTCGATATTGACATTTTTAAGTGAATTGTTAGGTCACCCCTCTTTTAGAGCGTGTCGTTCTGTCTCCTGTTACCAGGTATTGGTTTTGTCAACAAATTTGTTTCCATAAAACATTTCTCATATGAATGACCAAATCGTATGTTGTTATTTTCAATAAAATAACATTTACACCACTTTGAATGATGCACAGTTACTTTTTTCCGCTAATATGTTCATGTCATGGATCTTAGCAACATACGTAACGGTTCGTTACATGTATGGTATAATATGGTTGTAAGTTGAATTGATTTATCTTACCATATAATTTTATACACAAAATATTTGTCTTGTAATATTGTTTTAAACGAATACCTTACACCATAGATTACAATATGTATCTATAGATTGTTAAAGACGGTCAGCTGATGGCAATGGTCGGCGCTCTTGTAGCCATAAATACGCTGGTCCTGCTGACGTGGACCTTTCTGGACCCCATCGTTGTTGTCGACTACGACCTCCCTCTGCAGGTAGGTGGTTAACGTATCGAGTGAGTGTAGGTTCTTTAATGTCGAAAATTCCAGCACTTTTCCAGTGCTTTACATGGGACGGCGCCGTTGTCAGTGATCACGATTTCCGGATAATAAAATACGTAAGTGATATTGTCCATTTTAATTACATATTGATATCCGGCCTGACAGGATTTCATTGAACATCAGTATGTAGTCATGTTATACAATCCTTGAATCAAACGGCCATAAATATTACTTTCTAAACTGATTCCCGAAATCAGAACGTTTGGTTTCTTTTGTTGTTTGGTAAGTTTTGGTGATCCGGGCACAGTCAGACTGTTAGGCTCATCATCAGCTCAGGACCCGTGTCCCCTCTGCACGCAGTCCATACAGCGACTGGGACTTCTTCCAGGAAGCGCCGCCTAGTCAAACCCAACCAGAACTTTTCGGAGAATGTGAAGACTCTCCAACACTGCAGCCTTGTGCATTACCGAGATTGTCAGAAGGGCTGTATTCCTGGCAGCAAACCGTAGGCACCGAGAACAATGGATAGTCGGACAACTTGGTATTTGGGATGCAAGCGAACCATTTCGAGCGAAAGCGTGGTCCGTATATTTGCATGTTCACAACAGTGTCAAAAGGGACAGAAAATTCAAGAAAATAAATGATTTCATTGGGTTGATCAAAGAGGACAAGATCAGGTTCCTTGGCCTAAATAGGTCTGACGTTGTTAACACGCCTTTTCCAAAGATTTTTGTATTTATCATGATCATTTTCCATGGCGCCCTCTACATATTCTGGATGGTACCATGGATGGACCACAAGCATGTCGAAGACGGTAATAAAAAGATCGAGCCACTCCATCACGTCGATGAAGGTACAGTGTCTGTGCCAAAGCTGGGCATCCACTGACAATGTGTTGGACAGTCTCGTTAAATGCATTGCATAATCTACATTATTTACATTTTGATGCATAGTCACACATTCGAGTGGGAAGGGAAACCTTCTGTTTCACTGTTCAGGCCAGCCGACTTCATCCACACTGCAGGGTTGCAGAGCTGATTTGATATGGCACTTCGCTTGGTTTACACCCATTTCTGTACCGTCCAGCTGAACAGAACCGCCAACAATATCAACATTGACATTGAAATTATGTCCAACATCCTTGGCTCGTTTAAGAAAACTATATCTGGAATATCTTTATTGTTGTTGTTGACACTTCGGTCCCTGCCCCCAGTTTAAGTTAATATGACTGAATTAATGCTTGAATAATTAATACTGTTCCAGAGGGATGACAAGGAGGATGTGATTACTCAAAGGATAGTGAAACTGTGCGAGTCCCCCAACCAGATATACTTCACGGTCGCACTGTTCGCCCTGCAGGGCATCCTCATGCTGCTCGGGGCTTTTCTGGCATGGGAAACACGAAAGGTCGGTTCCCGTTATTCTTTGGTGCATATCTGCCCTGTCCTTTTGGTAACGATGAAGAGACAATTGGAAACATTTAAACAGCAGTTATTTGAGTCTTATATGATCGAGATATCACAGTTGGGTTACATCCTGAATAAAAAGTTGAATATTTGTTATGTTGTAACGTAAATAATAATTTTCCATTAATAATACTGCAATTATGAACTATCCTTGCCACATACTGAAATTTAAGGTGATTAAGCAAGGCAAGTTACCGTATATACCAACCTCATGGGTGCATGTGCTTGCCTACGACCAGCCTGTTCGGACCAAGGGAAGATTAGGTTTCTAGGACCACTGTGTTGATCTAGGTCACGATGACTTGGTTTATAAAGTGTCATGGTACCTGCCCATACTATGAATTACTGGTTTGTCTGATCTTGGATCAAATATTTACAAGCTACAACAAAACAACAAAAACATGCCACTTGTTTGTGTCTGAAGTGTTACTGAATAGGGGGAACTGAGGCCAAGCAGTTTATGGCACAGGGACTATCTGTGCAGAGTTGCGTCCCTTAGTCGTGTCAGATCCGCTGTAAAACGGGGGAGGGCTCTTCCCACCCAGCGGGTTTACATTTTTAACCCAAACCGAGAAGTGTTTTCTCTGACTTGTATACCGTCATAACAACATTTATTTATATTTGTTTAATATTGTGTATACAATTGCCTTACGACAGTCAAAAGCAAAGTTCGTAAAATATACGAGCTGGCGCCAATCTGGGCTGCTTGACAGGATGTGAACTGACCCCTGCTCAACTTCACTTTGTGTAGGTGACTTTGTTATTTAAAAAATTAATGCGCATAAAATTAATGCGACCTTCCCTCACTCGCATTTTTCGCATTAATATTCTGCTCGCATTAATTTCCTGTTTTACAGTATCTGATCAGGACATATACGATTTTCAACCAGTTCTGTGGTCTAATGGTTAGGGTGCTCGACAGCTGGTCAGGGGGGTCACGGGTTCGATTCTGGTCTTCGATTGTAGAACATTGGACCCTTGAAACCAAACTCACCATTGGAACCTCACAGCGGGGTTGAGGTCTTACTAGGATAAAGTAAAACTCATCCAAGGTCTTACTGCTTATGGAAGGAATAGTTTGGTTCAGTGACGAGTACCTGCATATGGGTTTAAAACTTTCGTTCTCCTCTTTGACGCGCCATTACGTGAAAAATAAAGAACGACTCCGAGGTTAGGTCGTGGAAATAGGTCGAGGCAAGATTGATTGATTGAGTATGGTTTTACGCCGCTTTTTGCAATATTCCAGCAATATCACGGCAGGGGGACACCAGAAATGGACTTCACACATTGTACCCATGTCGGGAATCGAACCCGGGTCTTCGGCGTGAAGAGCGAACGCTTTAACCACTAGGCTACCCGACCGCCCCCCGAGGCAAGTGGGTATCAGTCATGCACGACAGAGGAGCGAAGCTGCGCGGTCTTACACTGCCGATACCCGATTGCCGAGGTCTAACTTTACTCCACCAAAACCGAGGAGGAGTGCTTTATCTCACCTATGAACCGTCTAAATGCAAGAAATACCAGAAAAAAATTGTGAAAACATAGAGAGACCTTATAGTGAAACAATACAGTGTGTCGCGACATAAAAGTAAGCGTGTGAGTGAAAAAATACGTGCAGCATGTACCAACTGGATTCATGACATGTAAAATTGAACAACTTTTCATCACCTGCCTCGGTGGTTCAGTTGGACAGTGGGTTACAAAACTTAACACGTTATGCGAGGTCGCAGGTTCGATTGCCTTCATCCATAATGAAAACTTTCATTTCTTGTCTTAGAACACTAGTAAAACCTTTCAAGAGTGGCAGTAGCTTTATAAATATCTGAAATGCTGTTCATAGACAGGCTTTGGTTTCAAGGACTGGTGAAGCGTCACACGATGAGGCATAACCACTTCCTAGAGTCTACCGGACTGCCCCCGTGGTCTAGTGGTAGAGCATCATACAAAAAGACGTTAAAAGATGGTACTTGTTGTTACCCTGTCTCGCGCTCGGCATTAAGGGGCTAAAACAAGGACTGGTCGGCTCGGAGTCAGTATACTGTGTCTGGGTGGGGTATTCCTGTAAAACTGCGGCATGGTATCTCAGTGGGCTAGCACTATAAATCGGCATCGGTCCGGACTTGTACAAGCAGTCACATATACTCATAATATTTTCCTTACCTACAGTATATATACAAGCAAATCTAACAGCAGACCTTTACGTGACCACTGACACTACATAGCAGGCTATAGTCACGCAAGATAGACAAATCCATCAAACCCATCGCGCCAGACGGCTTAAAACAACAACTTTAATGGTTGAGTGCACATCAGTTGTCTGATATACTGGTATTCCCTTAAATCCGAATAGACTAGTCCCGCCGTCAACAACTGTCTGATAACTGGTACAAAAGAAAACCAAACATACAAATCAGTAAATTTATTGGCAATCTCACTAAATGACCTGGCGGGCCCGTGTGCGAAATACGCATAATGTCGGAAAGCGCACGTTAAATCTCCAATTGTAAGTAAGAATTACAAATCAGTGTTTATTCTTGAGTTATTATTTGCACCATATCACAAACTTTAGTGAAAACAAACATATTTACAGTTTAACTAAGCCGTTTAAAACTTCAAAGAGATTGCCAGTGTCTGGGTCATATCATTATGAGTAAAGTTAAAATATATTCCACTGTCTGACAACTGGGTGTCTTGCAAATGGGAGGACCCCATCGCGCTCGGTGAATTCTATTGTCCAGCGCCCGCAGCTGTATAGCCGTACAAGTTATACTTACGTAATAGCACAGCATCTAATGTGAAGACGGGAGAGGCAAATGTGCACTGTCTGCGTGAACTGCACACTGAGTGTCAGCGGCGGTTCTGACGTTGACGTACACGTCGATCGAGTTCATCCCAGAGTTGTTCCATTGGGTTGAGATCTGGAGATCTCGACGGCCAGGGCAAGCCGTTGATGTTGGCATAAGGGGGTAGTCTACCGTGATAGAACCTGTGTTCAGTGAAGCGTTGTCCTGTTGAAACAGCTCCCTCTGGCGGTCAATGATTGGAAGAAGGTGAGGTTGAAGAATTTGATTCATGTAGCGATTAGCTGTCAACCTTCCCTGAACCACAACCAAGTCAGATCTCGCGGTGTAGGACACACACACACACACACACACACACACACACACACACACACACACACACACTTGGACGCGACGTTGAACCCCATTTCACCTCACCTCACCTCACCTCACCTCACCTCACCTCACCTCACCTTTAATCTACCGTCAGTATCCCTGTTTGTACAATGTAGTTTATACGACAGGTGAAGCTCGATGGTCTTAACGACTCCAAGATGATTGGCATGTCTGTGTACAACGTCCTCGTGCTGAGCCTCCTCGGCGTCACCGTCTCCATGGCTCTCAGAACTCAGGTCAACATCAACTACGCCCTCACCTCCACCGTCGTCATCCTCGCCACAACCGTTACTCAGTGTCTCATCTTTGTGCCAAAGGTAAGACAACTATGTCCAACCAGGGATGCGGGAGTAGAATTGTTAGCCTGGGATTGACGACGTCATTGATGGGGGTAACTGTACTACGATGACGGGGTCTTTCTTCATGGCTAGGGGGGCACGGGTGGCCCAGTCGTCTAAGGCGCCGCGATTCGCTGTGCAGAGTTGCGTCGCTTGGGCACGCCAGAAACCTATGATTGTGGGTTCGAATCCCAGTTCGCCCCGATTATGTTTCTGGGTTTGTCAGTACCATACCCGTGCTCGTGGGTTTCACCGAAGTGGTAAACGTCTGAGACCTGCATCACTTCAGGCTTTCCTCCCACATTGAGCTGGCACGCCGTGATATAACTGGAATACTGTTAAAAACGGCGTCAAACCCAACTCACTCACTCACTCACTCACTCACTCACTCACTCCTCATGGCTAGTCCTGACAGTAATAAATTGTCTGGCCAGGATTATTACAGACCGTCGTAATATAGCTTGATTATTACGTTTGTTTGTTGGTTTGGTTGGTCTGTTGTTTTACGCCGCACTCAGCAATATTTCAGCTATAGGACGGCGGTCTGTAAATAATGGAGTCTGGACCAGACAATCCAGTGATTGATATCATGAGCATGGATCCACGCAATTGGGATCGATGACATGCTTCAACCAAGTCAGCGAGCCTGACCACCCGATCCCGTTAGTCGCCTCCTACGACAAGCATAGCCGCCTTTTACGGCAAAGCATGGGTTGCTGAAGACCTATTCTACCCCGGATCTTCACGGGTCTATTACGTTTGTGTTATGATATGTAAATGTTACGTTTTGCAACGTATTTGGTATTTGTACCAGGTGCTGTCTGTAAAGAACATCGGAAATCAGGTGGATGACGTCGGTGACATGATGGCGGTAGCAGGCGGGAGGTTGCCAACCGTCGGCGGGACAATGATGACGTCATCGGCAGTTACAGCCCACCGTCTGATAACAGTGGAGAAGACGCTCCATCTGGTATGTACTCTATTGTATTGGTTTACGTTGTTTTACGCTCCATCTGGTGACCAATACTCTATTGTAAATAAAATAATTTTTGGCACGACATATCAACTATAGTAATATGAAAGAAAAAAAAAATTCTTAACTTTATTTGAGTAGTATAGAACAAACATAAATAATGTGTCGATCGTGTTTATGTCACATTTTGATTATTGGAGCTGTGTATAAGTTAAGGAAGAGAATATATGGATGTCAACTTCTTTATTATGAGGAACACAACGTTTCGGAGTATATACTTACTCCTTCATCAGGTGAATGAATGAGTAAGCATATACTCCGAAACGTTGTGTTCCTCATATTAATAAAGAAGTTGGCATTCATAAATTCTCTTCCTTATGTGTATCACTTCTAAATGGACCCGTGAAGATTCCGGGGTAGAATAGGTCTTCAGCAACCCATGCTTGCCGTAAAAGGCGACTATATATATACTTGTCGTAAGAGGCGCCTAACGGGATCGGGTGGTCAGGCTCGCTGACTTGGTTGAAGCATGTCATCGTTTCCCAATTGCGTGGATCGATGCGTGTGATGTCCATAACTGGATTGTCTGGTCCAGACTTATTTACCGACCGCCGCCATACAGCTGGAATATTGCTGAGTGTGGCGTTAAACAACAAACAAAACTTCAAAATACCTTTCAAAGACGTGTATGAGTTGTACTTGTGTATCCTCTTTGCAGAAAAACCTGGAAGTAGAGCGATTAAAGGCAGAATTAGAAAAGTACAAGAAGACAGAATAGGCTGAAACCAATCCGCTGAAACTCCCTGCCCGAGTTTATTGTCTTTGGATGTGATATAGACAAAAAAACAACTAACATTTACAATGCACAGCATTGATTTTCGTCGTGTTTCCGTTAACATTATGGTATTTATCGATCACTCATACTTTCCTCGATTATCAAGCGTATCATACATATATACTGACGAAAATAAATAAGGGTACACTTAGTTTTAGGCACAGTAAAATGATGTGCTGTCATGGGTTCCCTGCCTTGTCTACCAAATGCGCTTGGAAACAATGCGCACAAACACACCTCAACATTTGATTCTGACATGTTGAATTTGTATTTGCGTAATTTCAAATGTACTGACATTAAAGCTTATTTACCCATGTTTTTCATTGTTCCCTTTCTTGTTTCCATCAATATACCCTGATAGGATTGAGATATACAGATATATTATAAAAAGGCACGGGAAATAATTTTCAGAGAAATGACAGAAAACAAAGAAAGTGGTATATGGCAGTCAGGCCTGAACAATATATTTAGTGGATATTACTTAATAATCTGTGTGCTGATAGTCTTTCTCTGTCGGCATTGATATTCCTGCCTTCTAATTCCTTTCTGTTATAAGTTTCAGTTGATATGCCTTATGAGCCGAGCGTTAAGACTACATGACTGTTCCGTCCGAAGAGAAGTAAACATTACTTTATGATTACAAGCTTTTCGACAAAACTGTTATGTAATATTATTTATTTCTGCATACTCATGTCTTTGAAAACTTCGAAGTTATCTCTAAGTTCAACTAGTCAGCACGGTAGATTAGCAACATTTTAAACATCATTGAATAAATGGCCATTGAACATGCGACCACGTCATGAAGTGAGTGAGTGAGTGAGTGAGTGAGTTGGGTTTAACGCCGCTTTTAACAGTATTCCAGTTATATCACGGCGTGTCAGCTTATTGTGGGAGGAAAGCCCGAAGTGATGCAGGTCTCAGACGTTTACCACTTCGGTGAAACCCACGAGCACGGGTATGGTGCTGACAAACCTAGAAACATAATCGGGGCGAACCGGGATCCGAACCCACAACCATAGGTTTCTGGCGTGCCCAAGGGATGCAACTCTACACAGCGAATCGCGGCGCCTTAGGCGACCGGGCCAAGAGCCAAGTTAATCGTATCTCTAGCCTGCATCACAATAAGGGCAGCAACTTCAACAACGCCAGTAAAAACGTCGACAGCAACTTCAACAGCAATTACTTCCTCCGTGACCTCACGTATGTCCGGTATGCTACATGTTAAACTTTAAGATTACACGCCGCGATATAACTGGAATACTGTTAAAAGGGGCGTTAAAACCCAACTCACTCACTCACTCTGTCTGTACTTATTGAATGTATCGCCCGTCATATATATGGTTTGCTCCACAACTTATAACGATCGTATGACCCATATTAACCTTTAAAGGATTACGTTTGGTCTAGGCTAATTATAAAAACCTCAAATTTGTTGTCGGGCAATTAGCTTGAGACCGCGCACCTTAAATAACCAAGAGAAGCAGACAGGCAGACAGACAGACAGATATTTTATTTTCGTCTCACCGCTGTACATCATAAAAAACATGCATAAAATAGACGTTTCTTATCGAATACTGTAAGGGACATTCTCGCGATCTCGACCTTTTGAAACGAGCTAAATATGCCCAAAACACGAGAATGCGAGATCGCGAGAACGCGAGATTTGGACAAAATATCGCATTCTCGCGATCTCGCATTCTCGTGTTTTTGGTACTTGGCACTTTGTGTCAAAAGTCGACAACGCGAGAATGCGACATTTGAATATGATGCAAAATCTCGCAATTCCGCAATCTCGACTTGTCACAAAAAACATTTGGCCACAAAAACACGAAATCGCGAGAACGCAAGAAAATAGAAAACTGTACCAAAGGGAAAGGACTCTACTACATGGGACTTTGTGTTTGTAAATTACATGATATCATTTTCAAGCTCAAGTCATAAGTTTGCTAAATAGCCACTGGTGGCGCTACGATCGAGCCCGGGAATTCCCGCCAAGTTCGGCAAGGGTGGAAACTGGCACTGCAAACACGAAAACGTCGTTTTTTCCGTATATGGTCATTGGACGGAAAAACGACTAAAAATTCATTAAAATTGATTAATTGGTCAGCGTCTAGAAAGTGTCCAGAAAAGGGTCGAGTTTTTCAAGTGTAAAATGGACGGAAAAACGATGCTTTTTGCTCCGCCTTGTACAACTGTTAACGGCCAATCAGATGGCGCTGGTCCCCCGACGCACGTGATGTCCAAGGCTTCCTTTCGGAAGCTCTAGGTTTCGTATTTCTGGCATGCCTTGCTCTAGTATCTCTCGCGCGCAGTGCAGCGAGATTTGCTGATAAGCTAGTTTTAGGATATGTTACATGTTAATGGAATTCAGACACGCGCCAAGAAGCCAAACCAAACAATGTTACTAAGTTTATTGTGGTAACGGCTATGTACAGTTACCCCTATCGGATAATGGGTTGTGTTTCATTTGGTTATAACAATAACTATTTTTTTAATGTGAAGTTTACAAGATATACGACTTGGACGCGAGGTCGGTCTCTTGACGTTCTTCACGTGACTGTATTCTTGAAAAGGCGTAAACACTGACTACTTCCACATTCCTGGGGAACACCCTTGGAATTCCCTGGTACGAATTCATACAGAAGCGTGGTTGCAAGCCCATTTAAGGATACCCTCGATATAACCCATCCCAGAGAGAAAAAACACGAAAAAAAATCCAAACTGTCGCAGTGACAATTTACAGAAATCTATGAATTTACCTTAGTATCTATTTGACACAACTTCACAATCACCTTTCAATGATCGGCCAATTGATCAGTGATGCCAAAGGCTTGAAATAGCCACAGGTTAATTAACAACTTCGAAAATATCTCCCGTCACGTTTATCGTGTCGGCCATTTTGACGTATTGTACTTGATGTAAATGTATTACGACGCTCTGTCATTGTAATTGACTTACTGAGGTAATTCTGTAAAAGATCTTCTCATCTAATGAGGATATTGTTTGGAATATATTTCTTGTAAACATACTAAAACATATGTTCCTCGCTTTGGGAGGAACTATTTTATTCCTGGGTGGCCCATTAAATCTAGTAGTAAGTCAAGGCACCATGCGTGATCTGTTATTTTATGTGTTTAAATTACGATTTGGGACGTTAATAAAATACACTGCAAGTATATTCTATTCAAATCAATTGGCTAATTGAATATGCTTTCTTTTACATATTACATAACATCACTGCACAAAATATGAACAGTTGCAGTAACACACTACGGTAATCGCATTAAACATCATTTTCAACTGCACAGTATATCAGTATTTCAGTTATATCATGGTGTATCAGACTGATGTGGGATAAAAATCCGAAGTGGTTCAGGTCATCCAATGGGTGTTCGGGAAAAGGTGAGCGTATCCTGCCACACAAGTGGCACCCGTCACAAACACATGCAAGGACAAGTCAATTGTTCACCTGAACAAAGCACGGAAACACACAATGATGCCCGTCCTCAGTTTTACCGAGCATGTAAATTATTTTGTCCGTCAAAAACATGGACGAGTATAAACAATATGTTCATTCACGTAATACATGCCATACATTTGACAAAATGTATTGACTCGGAGCATTATTGTTAATCACAGCGTATGCAGTTGAACTCATCACCCATCCCATTATTGATAACCCTTCTTGAAGATCTATGAAATCAGAAGCTGCAACACTCTATCTTTTAACTGGCATGTCAGACTTCTATTTTATTACTCAGTTTTATTTGCACGGATTACCATGGAAGGGACATTGTCTCGTTGTCGCATTGTCGCATTGACGCCTTTACAAAAACAAGCAAAACGTGTCAAAATTAACAAAAGCGCGACAATTGGCCATTTGTCGCATTGTCGCGTGTTCGCATTGTCGCTCTTTGATAATCCTTTTCTTTATTTTACAAAAGGGCGACGATGCCGTAACGCGACATTTTCAAGGTCAAAATATGTCTCGTTGTCGCATTGTCGCCCCATCACAAATGTGTATAAAAGGCGTAAAGTTCAGTTATTGTTACAGTTAGGAAGTTCAACCTGATAAATGTACGTCTTGAAATGAAAACACAAGTCCGTCCGCGAGTCCATAACGTTTTATTGTGAGCTCTTCTCTAAAAGTGCTTAGTGTTCAACTCCCAGTTCCAAACACGTAGTACCTCCTCAATAATCCACATACCTCCAGTGCAGTGGTCTTCCGGAAGATCTTACTCTTGACCGTATTAGACAACTGACGAGGGCATTGCCTAAAAGTCGGGCCGGGCCGGGCCAAGACTGCCAAAGTGTTATTGGCTAATTACTTCATTATCGGCGATCATACCTACATATTATTGATGCAACATACACACATGACATTAATGAACAATCACCAACCAAAAACGTGAAACATAATTAGGTATTTCGGAGTAAATCGCTTGAAATCCAGAAAGTGGAGCTGTGTGTAAGCGTCGCTGATCTAGGTAACATGTAAAAGAGCAATCGTTAAACGAAATAAGATTTGAAACGTATCAAATACTTCTAGCTCTCGCGATACAAATTTCCATCTGTCGGCATAGTGTTTATATTTATAGGATAGTACTATATCTATGTAAATACCACTAATAATGTCACTGTTCATCGTGTATAAAGCAGACACGTTGGTTAAAGTAGACCTCTTCTCCCCATACTCTCAACAGTCTCACAAGTGTTCGGTCCGACTTGGCCCGGGCTGTCAAAATCAACTTAAACCTCACAGATGTAACATGAAATGGATTCACACCTATAGATTAGTATTATATCTACCTAAATATCTCCTTATAGTGTCTCAGATCGAGGTTTTTAAAGAAATCAAGGTGCTCAAAGTGAAGCCCTTTTCCCTCTACATTCTCAACATAGTCTCTATCAGAAGTGGTGCTCGGTCCGACTTGTCCCGGGCTGTCAAAATCAATTATACACACAGATGTATCATCAAATGTGTTAATATCTGTAGCTT